ATATGATTGTGAAGACAAACAACTCCCCAGTTGCCTCCGTGGAGAGCAAGGCCAAACTACGAGGGAAGATGACAAGAATGATCGGCATTATGACCTGTATTTTACTCATATGTTATTCCCCAAACCAAATCTTTTTTATCTTTGCAACTGCTGGTAAAGCGAAAATAGATTCTACACTTCACCATTTCACAGCAATTCTCAACTTCATCACCATTGTGTTAATCCATTTATTTATGGACTAAGCAATCCTAATTATGGCCGGCGTTACCGAAAGGCTTTGTTGTGTTTTTGTCCCCAACCGAGAAGAGTTGGACCTGCCATGGAAAGATAAAATATTACTGACAGTCGACGCTAATTACGATTTATTTTATAACCACCAATGAAATACCAGGTGAGCTTCCTCGCGAAAACATGAAATCGTCTGACGTGAAAAATTACATCACCGCTATATATCTACCTGATAAATCGTGCCTTTCGCAGCCAAAACAAATTAATCGCAGCAAAATTAAAAATACATTAAAGTGAAATGGTTTGGACTTTCATTGGTGTTTATGTAATAAGTAAAATCCCTCTGTCTCTCGTTTACTATAAATTAACATTGCTGGGGTAGAAACATCTCAGAATTAGAATTCTTTTCTCCTTGGGATTCATAATAGTCCCAGGCATCATGATCAGGACTCACAACTTCAACTTCGCCTCCTACGTAACTCAATTCTCCGGACCAATTTAATTTTTGGAAATTGTACATTAAGGCAAAAATGGTACGTCTTCAGAGGGAACAAAAACCAAAACTGTTAAGTATACTAATCGATCGAGTCCGCTGAACTCTATCCAACAGACGAAAAACACATTTTTCGATCTTCTTGTTAAATTTCTTCTTACGTTTCTCGGTGTTTTTATTAGGTTACGTGCAAGGAGAATTTTCTTTTGGAAAAGATTCTTTTAATCGTTCGTCTCAAAATAGAACTACAGACTGTAATTGATCGGCTGGCCGGCTATTTTACTAGATGGCTGTGTACTAGCTACGTGCAGATCAGTATAACTGAATTTCGATTATAACATCATTACCTGTAAATATCATATGAATCAACTAAAATCACTGAACAAATGAAATATTACAGAGAAAATGTAGTTGGATAATCTGTTAAGAAGTACTTTGAAAATTGTAGATTGTACAAATAACGTGAAAAAACGTGCAAACATCGAGGCCAACATCCTGTCATCCGAATAGCGTACAGAGTGTTTTCACTCACGTGACCAGAATCTATGCAAATTTATTGGAACAAAAGAAAGCGTTTGCATAAGAAGAGAGTTCAACTCCCACAGGATTGGTTAGGGACACCAACATGGCCGCCGTTTCATTGTTTTGGGACACCAATATGGCCGCCGTGACGTCATGTGAAAACACTCTATAAGTATTGCATCTCAACGCTGTAGATAACTTGTAAAACGAGATTACTTCGACATTGTAAACAGCCCGTAAATCGAGAAATAGGGACTGAAACTAAATATAATACGGCCATGTAAAACCTCGTTAAGTGTAAAAGGGTAGCGGTTTGACTCTGGCCTGTAGAACATGTAAATACTCCGTTAATCGAAAATGAGCATTGATTGGATCCTGTAAATCTCTGTAAATTAAAATATGAGGGTTGGCTTAGCCCTCCAAAAGCCACTAATAAATGTGAATGGACTTATTTGACTATGTAGATCGAAAACTGAGAGGTCTAATTTCTTCCTGTAAAAAGTATGTAAAGTGGGAGGCTGGTTTAACCATATAAAACCCTTTGAGAATATTTACAAGGTCTTGTAAATATTCTAAAAATCGAAAAAGGGAGTATTTGATCCTGTCAATTCCTGTAAGCTAATAGAGGATGTTAGCATCAACAACGAGTGCGAGTACGAGAACGACTTCAAGCCGTACTCGTACTCGAAGTAGTTTTCTCAGCTTTCTATATTAGAGAGCTTTAGATTCTAAGACGAGTACGACTACGAGTACGAAATTTTCTCAGTACTAAGTAGTGCTCGCGCGTGAACCTGCGTCATTTTGGCGGGAAAACGTGGTAGCCGTCGTCACTCTACCTCGAGTTTTAGCGAGAATGTCGAAGTAGCGGAAACAAGTTATCAAATGTTAGAAGTTTTATCATTTTGCAATCAGGAGAGGGTGCAACCTCCTTCACTAAAGGTAACAGTGCCAGCTTTTCTAGTGAAAAATGGTAAAATGAAGCTTTCCGGGGAGTCTATATTTTGAGAATACGCGAAAAAACTTGAAGTCAAATCTCGTACTCGTAGTCGTTCTCGTCCTTGAATCTAAAGGTCTCTATTAGCAATGACACCGAGTTCGAGTTTATAGAAAATAAAATTATGGGATTCCGCATAACTGGGCGCCAAATTTGAGTCGAGGTGGCGCTTCCACAACAATTTCGAAAACAAAAAATGACTCTAAAAAACGTTCAAGACTGCTTGTTACTCAGTTACATGGTTAGTCGCGGTCTTAAAACACGCTAAAACCCATCAAATTCAACACAACAACCACACTGGATAAAGAAGTAAGTATTCTTTATTGATATCTTCGACTGTTGGGATATTTTCGACCAAATAATGGCAATTTTCGGGGTTATTTCGTGAGCCTGTGAGGCCTGTGGAGAGACATGAAACTTTCCCGGGTAAATGCAAATTTCCTCTGTGTAGGAAATATCGCGTTCGGTTGCTTTTCCTCGACTTCAAAAGCAGTATTTTACAGAAAAAAAAAAGGAATGTTCAAGATGATAAAGAGAGGCTAGAAACGGAAAGAAGCTGCATTAAACGATCGGAATTTACCTTTGAAAACCAGCTCTTCCCAGTCGTTCTACCCACTTCGAGTTTTTGGTGAGAACTCGTCGTAGTGCAACTTGACAGGACGACTTGAAAACGTGGAGATGCGCAGAACGGATGCGCAGTACACAAAATCGCTGATCTCGTTTTAGAACTCGTACTCGTTGTCGATGCTAACATCCTCTAATAAAGGGTGGCTGGATTAACCGTTTAAAAATTATGTAAATGGAAAAAGAGGGATTTTTCCTGTTACCCTGTAAACAGGTGAATCTGAGTCTCCGTAAATACCACCGACGTGTTTACGGGGTTGTCCAATACTGCACAAATAGACTCCATTGGCGTTATAGTGGTGATAAGAAGGCTCTCCATTGGTAGCAATGGTAGGATTGGTACCAATAGAAAATGATGTCATTCCAGTGGTTCTACTGGTGAATATGGATCTCACAATGGTTCTTTTGGTAAATATGCATCTCATTGAGGGGACTTATATCAAAAAGTTTTGAACTGCATTCCATTCGCTATCGTGCTTGATTCCTGCTGGTGACTTGACAAGGGACTGTCTTGTGTTTTTAAAGTGCACACAGGTTTTGAATTTTGGGTGCCTTGTTTTTGAGATTTGGGTGCTTCGTGCTTCGGTCTTCGTTTTCGAAAGTACCGCTTGCATAGATGGCTTAAGAAGAATACACATTTCAACCTCGCTATATTATAACTATTAGCAATAACTATTAGCGCTAGTTCAACCTCTCTTTGTAACTATTAGCGAATTTCTACTTTGTGTGAGAGCGAAATTGTTTTGCGTGCTCTGCATATAGAACGAGGAACATTCAGAATAACTATTAGCGCGTTTCTACTTTGTGTGAGAGGGAAAATGTTTTGCGTGGTTAGCTTATAGAACGAGGAATATTCATAATAACTATAAGCGCGTTTCTACTCTGTGTGAGAGGGAAATTGTTTTGCGTGGTTAGCTTATAGAACAACTGGAGGAATATTCATAAGAACTATTAGCGCGTTTCTTCTCATTGTGAGAGAGGGAAAATGTTTTGCGTGGTTAGCTTATAGAACGAGGAATATTCATAATAACTATTAGCGCGTTTCTACTTTGTGTGAGAGGGAAAATGTTTTGCGTGGTTAGCTTATAGAACAACTGGAGGAATATTCATAATAACTATTAGCGCGTTTCTACTCTGTGTGAGAGGGAAATTATTTTGCGTGGTTAGCTTATAGAACAACTGGAGGAATATTCATAATAACTATTAGCGCGTTTCTACTCTGTGTGAGAGGGAAATTATTTTGCGCAGTTAGCTTATAGAACGAGGAATATTCATAATAACTATTAGCGCGTTTCTACTTTGTGTGAGAAAGAAAATGTTTTGCGCAGTTAGCTTATAGAACGAGGAATATTCATAATAACTATTTAGCGCGTTTCTACTCTGTGTGAGAGCGAAATTGTTTTGCGTGGTTAGCTTATAGAACGAGGAATATTCATAATAACTATTAGCGCGTTTCTACTTTGTGTGAGAGGGAAAATATTTTGCGTGGCTAGCTTATAGAACGAGGAATATTCATAATAACTATAAGCGCCTTTCTACTCTGTGTGAGAGTGAAATTGTTTTGCGTGGTTAGGGGTGGACCATTTGATTTTTGATGGGGGGGTCGTGCAAATCCCCCCAAAAAAATCGAGCATATGTTTCTGGTTAAAAAAAATTTCTTGCAGAATTCTTAAGAAGGAAAAAAAAATCGAGCAGCCTTAACCTGGGCGTGGCAGAGGATTTTGCGTGATGCGTGACGGTCCCAAAAGTAGCTGTGAGTCACATGATACAGGACTGGGCATCACATTTTTTGATGCGTGAATTAGTATTTGCAAGCGCGACGCATGATTTACCAATAGATTTCCTATTAAAGTGAACCCTCTGCTCTAGAAGGATATTATGATTCAAAGATATTCATGTATTCAGATTCCCACCCTAACAGTTGTCACGTGCAGGTAACAAGAGTAAAGGCAGGCCACATTGAATTGGTGCAGGGTTCAAAATATAAAAAGAATGTGAAACGGATGCGCTGGATATGTGCACGAGACAAAAGACGATCAAATAGATCGAAGAGCATTTTTTCCCTCTGGGTCATTCGTGTTTTTGCAGAGTTCTATTACTTTTGTGTTCATTGCATATTTTCAAGCCAAGAAAATAATAGTAAACAGTCTGTAGCACATAAATTAAAACGTAATTGTTTTAATTATTTAGGCATTGAAATATTGTAATTTTATATATCATGTACCTATATAAAAGATGATTCAAAGGGGTCAACTACCAATCTGATTTTCTCACCTATTGACAACTGTAGTGACAAATGTTTATTTAACAATGTCTTTAATAAACCACAAGCTGGCAGAAATTGTCTATATTTATCCATCAAGAACAATTGAGCCTTAAGA